TCATTTGCAGCCACTGCAGTTGCAATTGCAATTGGCATGGGCGGTGTGAAGGGGGGATCGGGGCGTAAGGGCGTGGAAGGGGGGCGTGCTGCTTCTGCCCTTATCAAGAGCAGGTCATCGGGAGATGGCAGATGCTGATTGCAGGCGGGGGGCTTTGCAAAAGAAATGAAAAATGGGTGGCCATAGAAAGTGTAACTCCTTCAAGGGAATAATATTTATGCTGTTGGAATAGGGAGTTTAAGGGGAACTAGGGCTCTAAATCAATAAATTGATAGGGGAGTGACATCCACATCCTGGAGATACGCCATTGCACATCTACGATGGGCTTGGGGCCAGATCTAAAGGCACAAGCGTATGTTCCCTCAATTAAAATGGTTCCTAATCGTTTAATAAACCGTAAAATAACGGGCGATGGGATAAAGTAAAAGTTAATACTTGAAGAAAATTTAATGCAGATTAAACACATTATACAGATTATACTGATTTAAAAACCTCTGCAATCATCTTTATGTTTTCAATATCGCAGCACAAATTAATAGGTGTAGAAATTATATAAATATAAAAAAAAATAGACAGATAGAAATGTCACAGAAAGTTAATATGAATTTAAATTATTTGTTTACATCGTATTTTTTATTCTGCCAATCGAAACATTTCAACTAAAACCATGTTTTAGTCAAGAGTTTTATTATATTAGGTATATTAATTAGTATAAAAAATTAAACATGGTATTCAGGAATTGAACTTTAGTGGATAAATTGGCAAAGAAGCAATGGCCATTTTCAATTATTTCAATAATTTCATAACAATTAATTAAATTCCTTAAATATTACATATATTTTGAATTACATTAATATTTTACTCCTTGGTTCGCCAAGTCTGTGCGTTAACTTTGCCGTTTAAGTGACGAACGGATAGCGCTTAATTTAACGGTAATTTGTGTAGAACAGTCTACCGCTGCTCCATCCCCCCTCTCGCTCCCACTTCCTGCCGTCCCGCTCTTGTGGGGCCGCTGCGCAGGCGCACAATTTACTGTTGTTTAGCCTCCGCCTAATTGATTGCTCCCGTTGTTATTGTTATTTTTGCCATTGTTGTTGCTGCCGGCCGCTACTTATTGCAAATATGAATTATTATTTATTTTTATTGAAGCGAGCTGCGGCATTTTCGTCACAATTTTTTGCGTAGCCAGCCAGAAATAATAGTAAACTCAAGTTGAATGCAGAAATTTATTTGTTTTCATTGTTGCCGTTGTTGTTGTTGTTGTTGGGCTGCAGAAATTGTGTAATAAATAATTTACGCTCGCTTTTGCAGCGTGCCACATAATCATATTCAATAATAATAAAAGCAACAACAAAATGGGCTGGGCCCCAGTTAAGAGGGTTGCATATCGGAGGAAAAGAGACGGGCAGCGGGTGCGAGGGAGACGGCAGTGTGGAGCTTGTTTGGGTCGCTGACCCAGAAATGTCAAACAGGGAAGTCTTTTAATTTTTATTTTTCCATACTCCATTTGTTTTGCCTCTATCGCGTGGTGAGTTGATTTGTGGTACTTCGGTTTTGATAGGACTGGAGATTTTTTAAGTGTTCTCAGTCTGTTAATTTACCCATTTGAACTTTGCTTTGAGAATACGTTGTAAACCAGAATCCCTAGATTATATTCTTGTTGCTCTTTTAGTATTTACCAGTTTTGATAAACGTTTGTTTTTCGCTTATTTTGTATTATTGCTATTATTTATTTTGGTTATTTGACTTAAGATTTCTGGAATAATGTGTTTTAATAGTACGTTTAGTATCGCTTATACATATTACACAATAGGTTTGTACTAAAAATTGGCTTTATTTAGAAATTTTTTAGTCGTTAAGTAATTACTTCATTAATATTTTTTCTGTTGACTTTTCAGATTCCTCAAACATTTTTTTATAGTTCTGTTTTCTTGACTTAACTTACTTACAGTATTTAATTTAAATCGTTGTATTAAATAAGATCACTTTAATTTCATTTCCAATTAACAAATAAAGAAAGTAAGTAAATTTATTAAGTTTATTTAAGGCTGTGTTTTACCATAACATGTCAATGGTTTATTTTGTTAATTTCATCACCACCGTTCAGATTATTAGTACCCCTCCCATTTTTTAGCTGGGCAGCACAAATATGATAAATGCAAAACAATCCCACCCCTCCACTTCGCAATTCACAAAATTTGTTGTTTGTTTTTTTATGGACCCTGGCAGCCAATTCGACGACACATTGCACTCATATTACGCTTAATCAGTTTAATTTGGATATTTCTTATTTATTTTCCACTGGCCCAAGTAATTGGAGTTGCAAACGACAAAAATATAAAAATAAAATGAAAAAGCATTTCAAAAACATAAGCAAAGTTAAGGAAAAACAAAGAATAAAGCACAAAAATCGAGCCCCTTTTTCTGCTTAATCCCTGTTTGCCTCTCTCCCCCTCCTCCTTTTGTTCTCTTTGCTTTGGACTTCTTCGCTTGTTGCATGCTCGCTCATGTTCATGTTTTTTTTTTTTGTGGTATTAATGTGTGTGCTTGAATTTCATCATCTTGGGAAATCCTTGCATAATGTATCTTGAGTCGCAAGCTTAACTTTATCGCACTTTATCAGCACATTTTTGACCTCAATTAACCTTAAAATGTATCAAATTGATTTCTGTATTAAACAAATAAGAAGATAATAATAAAATGTAAAACAAGTGGATCAAAGCAGCAACAGTGCCTTTTTGCAGGCTGTTTGGTTAATATCCTTACCAAAGTTCTTCTTATCCATAACTTTGATTTACATATGTACATACATATGTTTAGAAAATTTGGGTTGACATTATCCACTCAAAGCATTTAGCCACGGTGAGGTCCTTTAAAATGCCGCAAATGGCTTGAAATGGTAAAATCTGCTTCTAAGCATCCTTTCCCCAATCTCAGTATAAGATTTTCCTTGATCCTGCTTATGAAATTTTACCTTTACAGTTGATTTTTTTTCTTTGTAAAGTCAAGCAACTTTCCATTTAATTTAAGGCACTAAAACGATTTTAGCTTCACAATTTATCATTATTTTATTTAGAGTATAGAGGCCAATGGTATTAAGTTGAATAGGGTCCAAATTGATAAAGTTTTAAGAAAATAGTTAATTAAACCCCAAGTGTGCCAATAATTGTTTTCAAGGAACGTTGGTAAATTTTTTTGTTTTTTTTTAATTAGTGATTCTATATAAAAATAGTTTGTTTCATTTAAATATCAGCATATTAGAAAAAGAAAAAAATTCTTGCGGTGTCAATAATCAAATTCGTCACTGTAGTAAGAATAATAATTACTTAAGAAATTAAATTATAGCAATAGCAGTTAATTCATAAACTATCTATGCTAGATATGTAGATGTATAATATCAATATCGTGTTATTATTCAATTGTGAAAACAAGCAAGACAAACGTGTTTGCTATAATCATAATCCTGAATCGGTTACAAAAACTGTGTTAATTTCAAACGCTATTAATATTTGATTAAAATCAATGGCAGTTATGACAATTAAGTGTGCCATCAAATTTAAATAAAAAGCATAAAAGTGTTTTACTATGTTACGCCTATTTCGTAATATTTTTCAAGCATTTTCGCGCGCAAAGTTGTGGAAGACAGAGATGGAGCTAAGAGAGAGAAAGAGAGAGAAAAAAAGCCTGTTTATGTGTGGGAGGGAGACGGGAAGATGCAGAGCAAGGGAGCAGTAAGAGCAAAAACTTGTTTTTCATGTTGGACAGTCAATTTTTTGATATATGGTGAAATTGATTAAAAAATAACCAATATCGAAATCAGAAATATTGAAATTCAGCCAAAACTTTACACCGCCTCACGATTTTTTGTTGTTTTTCTTTTAAGAAATCACAAAATACACAAAACCCAATAAATTAACAAAGTTTTTCAATTTATTTTTAAATCAAAATACTTTAAAATATCGTGGAAACAATCATATTTTTAGCACATAAATTACCCGCAACAATTAAAACAAAATTTGTATCTTATTCACAAAATGGTTGCTTTATTTCAACATTATACATTTACGAGTTAAAAATAATCAATATTTAAACTACGTAAAAATATTTGTAAATACCAAAGTTTTATTTTCATACATTGTTTTTTTTTTAATATTTTGAATCTGTACAAAATAGTGTTTTAGTAATTTTCTTCAAATCGACTCCCTTTTTCTACTGCCTTTTTTATACATCATCTGACTCGCTCCCAAAATCTACTCCCTTTTTTCTCATAATCTTTCTACTGCACTTTTAGGCCTCTTAAAAACGCTAGCTCTGCCTCCGTTCTCTGTCCGCTCTTTTTTTTAATAAAAAATCAAAAGGCAAGAGCAACATGCAATAGCAAAAACAACTGGCAGAGAGCATTGTACAATCGCAGTTTTTGTTTTGCTTTGACGTTCGCTAGGCAGCGCAGTAAGCGTCGCTGCCTTGTATTCTTCTTCTGCATTTACCTGCTAAACAAGATCTTTGTGTACCCACACACACGCACACAGCCTGCCCACTCACTCTCAGTTTAAAAAGAAAGAACCTTCTTTTAGGAGTACCGACTTTGGCGTACTCTGTACTTGTTTGCCCTTTAATATGTTTATGCTCTAGTTGGGAAATAGTAAACTAAACAAAACTTAAATATCTGTAAAATTTGTATTGTTTTATAAAATTTATTATTCATAAACAATTAATTTCCAGGACTCCGAATATACCCGCTCACACTGAAATTAATGGGTGTACAAAGAGCGAGGTTTTTTAAATTTTTTTCTCTTGCCTCTCCACTTCCCCCCTTTCCATCCCCTCCCCCTTCCCCAACTACCTGCATGCATGTGCATGTGCAGGAGCGAGTGAGAGCAAAAAAGAGAGAGAAAGAGGGATTGCACTGGCTGCGGCCTACGTTGCGCCTACGCCACCCCTCTGCCGGCGTCGCTGCCGAGCGCTGCCGCCGTAGTTTGAGGCTCCACTGCGAAGCGAACAGTTCTTTTTTTGACGCGGAGCCAGTAAGACGTGTTTTCTGCCCTCTTTCTTTGAGTCTGCGACACGTTTTAAGTGCTCTTCCCCCATTGACAACAACAGCAAAAATCAGAATCCAACCAAAAACATAAATCCATCGTGAAAAAAATTGTTTGTGTTTTTAAATCAGTTCTAAACACGAAAAGGCTTGATGAAAAACGCAAAAGAATCCGAAAAACTAACCAACTAAACTAAACAAACCCTGACTTGAGTGTTGCTTGACAAATCAAGGAAAAACAAATCATAACAAAAAACTGCACAAAAAATGCGAGAGTTTCTAATATTCAAAATCTTGCACAAGAAATACAAAATCAATTAAAGTGAACTCTAACCGAAAGTTAAAAAAAAAATAAACAAAATAAACCAGCGAAGAACAATCAGAAGAAGAGCGAAACGCTAACAAAGAGCAGGAAGGAAGGAAACGGATAAGGACAAAAAGGAAGCCAGCACGCACACACACACCCACACAATGGCCGTGCCCTTTTATTTGCCCGAGGGCGGCGCCGATGACGTAGCCTCGAGTTCATCGGGAGCCTCGGGCAACTCCTCCCCCCACAACCACCCCCTTCCACATCCGCCCCTCTCTGCGCACTCCCCCAGCGCATCCTCCACCTCCTCGGGAGTGTCCTCCGCTTCGGGTTCCTCCTCCTCCGGCTCCTCGTCCTCGGACGGCACCAGCAGCGCCGCCTCGCAATCGCCGAACACCACCACCTCGTCGGCCACGCAGACGCCGATGCAGTCGCCATTGCCCACCGACCAGGTCCTCTACGCCCTCTGCGAGTGGGTCAGGATCTACCAGAGCCAGCAGAGCGGTAAGTCTACAAAGATTCTAGGAAAATAGCCAAAATATACTTCTTCCACATTAACTCTTAAAACAGTAGAATGGTTAGCTAAGATATTAAATATACCAATTTAATGGAAACATCTTTGTTTATTAGATCTTTTTACAACCCTTATAACCGAAAAATAAAGTCAAATCAAGTATTCCTAAACGGTTCTAAAACAGAAATATTACAATCGGTATTTAGGGTTCTGTTACAAGTACCATTAAATGTGAAATTAAATTATTTTAATAAAATATCAAAAACTAGTAAAATTTAAATTTTCTGAAGGAATAAGTAGCCAAACAAAAAAATCTGTGCAGTTCTATCAAAAGGCAACTGAACTTTAAGAGATAAATACAAAAATAATTTTAGTGGTCAAGTCGCAATTTAATTTATACCCCAAAGTCATGGCCATATGGTGTCTAATAAAAAATGAATATATAAAAAGCTGATCGCGACAAATCAAAATTTATTTATATGCAGGGACTAGCAGTTTTTAGTTATTTAAAATGTTGCTTCAAAAAATTATTAACAAGAATAATAATAAATAAATAAGATTCTTGAATTGTGGAGTGGCAGATTGTTTCAAAAGATTAATTTAGTAGATTCTACTGCTTAAAAGATCTTACGAATTCGACTGTAGATCACTAGATTTTAAGAGTCCAACTTGATTTTATGATTTGTTGCAATAGATTAATATAAAAAGAGTTTAAAAAGTCTTTCTAGACAGTTCTCAATTAAGTGATCTTGAAGTAATTTTTGTTTTTACTGATAATAACTTAATTTATATTTTAAAATAATGAGTATCTCTCAAATTTATTTAAATAATTTTCTGGCAAGTTGTATTTATATTTAAAAAATTAAAACACTTATTTTATTTTTGAGTATTTTATTTTTAATTCACTGTCGATACATTATCACATTCGAACTGTTTCCGAGTTCACTACAACATTTCTTGACATTCAAGAAAGTTTTTCTCATTTTTAAATAGGTCAGCAATTAGCCAAGTTGTTGTTGAGACTTTATTTGTTAACTGCTTCAGTTCCCCTTGTGCAAGTTTCACTTTTCAAGGTTGTTGACTCATCCAGCGATCCGTGCACTGCGTCAACTGCCTTTAGGTTGTTTTTTTCTTTTTCCCAGTTGTTTTTTTATTTTTTGTGTATGGTCAGGTCAGCACTTCGTCCGCTTATGAGAAAAAAAAGGGAGAGCGGAAGGCAACATGAAATTTGCATTAAATTACTGGGCCACACTCGAAAGGAAGCCGCAACCGAAAATGGTAATTCAATAAAAATTAATCGTACAAGTTCAAAAAGGGGAAAATTGAGAAGTAATTGAGAAGTTTCGATTGGGGGAGGGAGCTGACCAAACAAACTGGAAGACTCAAAAATGCGAAAACACAAACATACTGGGAATTACTGGGGGACGGTATTGAGTTACAATGAATTTGTAAACAGTTTTAAACAGGTCGGTAACTTGGTATATAAACCCAGTTATTCAGATAAAAGTAGGAAAGTTACAATCTGAACATCTTTTTACAGACAATACAAAATTTGTTAAGAATTCTATGTAAGATGTTATATAATTTATAAGATACGTCTTACTCAATACAAGATAAGATAGAATTGGCTGATATATTCTAAACTTTAGTAATAAAAGAATATTGATACTATTTTACCAGCATAAATTGACGTATCTCCGACCACAAAAAAAATCAATACCAAACATAAAAACCGGGTAAAAATCTCCTTAAATAGGCTCATAAATCTGCCGACCAAAATCTGTTAGTGTGGTAAGCTCTACACAAACAGGGAGACAGATGCAAGACAACTGCCAACTTGGTTGTCATGCGATATTGCCCGTATTTCTTGGCAACAAAAAATTGGGCGTGTGCTGCTGGACCAGCAAAGAGTGAGAAAATAAAGACCTGGTCATAACCAGGGGAACAGAAATGAGGTAAAACAGAGCTGGGAGCAAAGAGCTAAGCACGTTTAATTGGCACGCGCCAAACTCGAGTCGAATGTCTTACTTTTGAGTGTGTGGCTGTGTATCTGGGTATCTGCTAGATATGTATCTCAATCGCAGTGCCCGTATCTGTTACAGTTCGGCTAACCCAAATTATTAAACGCCATTTGACCTTAGGCAACTAGTTTTCCGATTTTCCAAGGGGGCCAATCGGGTTGAGGGTGCGGGCCATTTGCAAAGTGTTTGACTTAACGGTTGTTTAAGTAGCTTTTGTGCTCGGCCACGTTGAGTGCGGTCAGTTTTTTTGTTTCGTTTCGTTTTTTTTTTATTGTTTTTTCTTTTTTGCGCGCTTTTTATGTTTGCTTTGCGGTTTTTTATTCGCGTTCCTTAATTTTGTGTTGCCTTTGCATAATAGATTTTGTCGCTGTCGATGATTGCCAGCTGCGGTCTAGCCCCACCAACAACTGAATTGTTGTTTTATTATTTTCGCTGTTTTATTTGGTTTGTTACCTTTTTCGCGGCTGTCAGCAACAGTTGGTCAAGCCAAAAAAACAAGATAGTTCCCTTCTTGGTTTCGACGTGACTCACTTTTGGGCGTTTACATTTTTTCCATATTTCATATCATATTTTAAAATTATTTGTTACTTGGCGAATCTTTGCTTCCAAATCTTAGAGTTCAGATAACCAAATTAATTTGTCGTTTAGTTTATATTATTTATGATGACTAGTGTCATCAACCCTAGGTATCTTCATAAAAAGTATCCTTCAAGAGTCAAGTATGCAAATTATTTTATTTTCCCCTCATACCTTTAAATGCCCACCATACTTTCCTTATCGCAAACATTGCTCCCCACTAAGATCATATGCTTCAGTAAGCCACTTGAGTGGATAATTTATCTAATAGTGACACATCCCGAAACTAGTGAACAATGCTTAAAGCACTTGAAACAAGAACGGGATAAACTGTAGTTAACCAAGATGCGAGCACCCTTTTACTGGTTTCCCCCAGCTCGTTTATATAAGCCAGAATCACAGAATACTTTTAGCCACAAACGCGCTTAGTCATCAGCCAGCTATCAACCCTAAAAGCCTAAAAAATGCGAGGCGCAAACAACCCCGACAAAAATTCCTAAATACCAACAGAGCTTTTCCCTACCAAAAAGCAGAAAACGCAGGAGGGAGCCTTTTGTTTTGGGAGAGGATTAAGCATCCAGGATCCCAACGTTCAAACATCCCAACCCCCACCCTATATCCCATTCCGAATGGCGCCCAACAAAAGGTGCAATGACAGCAGTGGTTCTTAAACAGAGATGGGAAACGGTACAATTTATTTGTAGCTAGCTAGGTATATATTGGTAGAGTATTTTGGAACAATGTTAATGTATAACATTTTAAAATTTTAAAAGGTTCTTAGAAGTCTCGTGAAACTATGTAAATGTAGTTATGTATTCCACTACAAATTCAATGATTAACATTATTTTATCAAAAGGATAAAACTTTAAATGACATTTAATTGGTTCTCATTTAAGTTTGTAGTAAGTACCTAGCTGAGGTACTTAAAGTAAGTACCGTAAAGCAGCTTTAACCCGATACTTGTTATCACTGAACCCACCTCACCTAACCCCAATTTTTGGTCAATCCGTTTTGGCATGCAAATTCGCATCATTCGCTTGGCTTGGCTTTATTTTTGCTGTTGCCAACAGCTGTTTTGCTGCTAGGCGTTGTTTTTCGCTGCCGGCGTCTCTGCCGCACTTGACATTTTCAACCATTTTGTTTTGCTCGGCAACTTCGTGGATGCCTAGCCGAAGCTAACGGTAAAGAGGCGGCATAATGGCGGCAAAAATGGCGACTCCTGCCGCACATCCTGCCTGGCAACAAAACACAGCTGACTGCTGCGCAGAGAGAGAGGGAGATATGTTTGTGCCGGTAGAAAGAGAGGCCCTACAAGGACTCCGATTAACCGCAAGTTTTTGAACTCTTCTTTTTTTTATTGTACAGCCTACCCCAAAAGGGGGCGGGAAACCGGAAGAAGGATAGGTAGTTGCCTCCGCTTTCATCATCATCATTTGCATCTCGATTTGTTTGGCCTGTTGCCAAGCTGATTTATATGTACGAAGCTTTTTTACATTTTTGTACTTGGCTTTTTATTTTGCCTTTTCTGTTGCCTTCTTTATTTTTCTTTTCGCATTTTTTCGTTGTTGTTATGCCTTTGCTTTTACATTGACCGTGAATGTTTGTTTCCCTCTACTTTTGTTTCGTTTTTCTTTATTTTTCATTTACAAATTGAGCTGCGTCTTTTGTAATTGTTTCATTTCATTAAAGTTTTTTGCTCGCCGCTTTTAAGGTTTTTTTTTGTAGCATAGTTTTTTATGAGCTTACTGCCTTCATAAATTTGGCATAAACATTTTTTGATGATCTGCCCGAAACAGCTGCGACAAATTGAATCGGAACTCTTCACTCAAATATTATTTGCTCATAAAAGTTGAAAGTAGTTCGATGCCCGAAAACTTGGGAAACCAGCTGTGAATCATATTTTTCATCTGGGGATTGCAAATCAATAGAGAAGATTTCTTTAGAAATTTATTTATTTCCCGACTTAGGCAAATTTTTTCTTGTCAGAGTTTTATCATAATTTGTAAAATCTTTTTTATATTAAATGATATATTTTAATTGCTATGCAAGTCTAAAGATGTCTTCCCACTATTCAAATTGTTTGTTTACATTTCAAAACATTCAGCGCAATGAACTTTACACATTTTTCAAGTTTAAATGCCCGCCAGGCACTTTGCCTAATAAGAAAAAAAATATTACCTGAATGCGCGAGTATAAACTTGACACTTTTGAGGCACTATAAGCGTCAGAACTCAGTTGAATCAGGTTCAGACAGTCTGCCAGGATCCCTAAGTTGGCTTTTGATTAAGTCTCCGCTGAGGCCGTGCTAAATTGTTTGCACTGAGGCGTTCGGGTTAAGTTGGGGGCGGTGGGGGGTTAAGGATAGAACGTGCTCAAGTTTTTGTTATGAAATT